GTTGGCACCAGCTGGGGCTGGAGTGACCAGTCAGTGCACTGGGAGCTGGTGGTGTTGGCTGGTGTGTGTCCCTCCTAGGCAGGTCCCCCTTTGCACAACCTGTCCCACCCGTCCCCCAGCAGGGGCTGGGACCCCCTCAGGGCACCCCTTCCCTCCCACCACAGGGAAGGAGAGGACGGGGGAGACATAACTCGACCTGCTGGGAAGGGAACCCACCCTGGTCACAGGATCTCGCAGGCATTTGGGCGGGTCCTGCAAGAAAAAGGGCTAAAATCCCACTCAAACCCCAGCGGCGTCAGGGAGACCAGGCTGGGACACGACTGGGGGCTTTTCAAAACACCTTTAATGCACAGCAGGTTTTTTTCCCCCTTGGGCCTCGTTGAGCTCATCCTCCCGGTGCCGCGGGGGGGACAGTGGCTCCGTGTCCCTCCGGCTTCCCGGGATGTCATCCCGTGGTCCTTGCATCCCATTAGCAGCAAGGTGAGACCCCCCCTGGGCACGGCTGGCTGCTTGTGTGGGGATGGAGGGATGGGAAGGGCGTCTGCAGGGGTTCTGCCCACACTTCACACCCAGCCCTGCATTTCTTCCAGCCTCTCTTGGTCACCTGGACCCCACAGCATCTGCTCTTGTCACCTGTTAATGGGAGAAACTGGTGTGAGCCCAGTCCCAGCTCAGGAAGAACTGGGATGGAGTCCCTGTGGGGTGGCTGGGGGGTGTCAGCATTCCCACCATGACAAATCCTTGCCTGAATAATATCTGCTGTCCCTACAGCAGCAGTTCCCATCCCACCGTGCACTTGGGGACACTTCTACTGGCAGTGGGGCCAGGCAGGAGGTTGGGGTCAGCGTGTATTCAAGTTGCAGATGATCCCCTGGGACATCCAGGTGACAGCAGGAGCAGGAAAAACCACGTGTCTAACAGGGAGAAGAGCTCGGTGGTGCCCTGCAGAACTCATGCCAGGCCTTTGAGGTGATGCTCCCACAGTGGTGGGTGCTCCTGGGCACTGCTGTGGGGTTCATGGGGTCCCCACCTCCCATCCCGTTCCCACAGGTGGCTGAAAAAATCCTCACCAAGAGCTGAGTTTGGTGCCGGGCTCTCTTGTCCCTCTCACTGTCCCCGGGGCTCATGGTGGCACTTGATCACTCATGTTCCTGTTGTTGCCAGTTGCTTGTGGGGGGTCCTGACAGCCCACCCGTGGGCTGTGGCTGCCAAAGCCCCTTGTCATGCTCTGGGCAGCTGCCTGGGGAGGAACAGAGAATCACAGAATCATTTGGGTTGGGAAAAAACCCCTTTAAGATCATCAAGTCCCACCATTAAACATACGTGGGGTGAGGGTGGGAGGGGTCCCACCCGTGCTCCTGGATGCCCCCGTGGGGCTGGTGAAGGTGTGAAGCACATTTGCACGTGCTGTGATTTCCTGGTGGCTCAGCACGGGTTTTGTGCTTGGAAAAGCCTCTTCCGTGTGTCCATGGTTGGGTTTTGCCAGAGCCTGACTCCAGGATGCTGCAAAACAACCCTGCAGGATTCTCCCTCAAACTCAAGCTTTCCCACCCCAACCCCACGGCAAAAAAACCTCCTTTGGCCCCAGCCCAAAGGAGCTTTATCCAGGGGACAGAGATGCCCTGGATCCCCCTCTGCAGAGCCAGCTGTGCTGCTTCCTGATGGGATCAGGGGTCACACAGGGGCTGCCCCCACTGCCTGGGAGCTTGGGGTTCACTGTGGAGCTTCCTCTGCCTCCCTGCAGCCAAGAGGGTCCCTGTCTGCCCCCCAGATCTCCTCTCCCATGGGGTGAGACCTCTCGAGCCAAGAATGTGGGCAGCATCTGGTGCAAGAACAGCCAGAGCCAGGACAAGGATCTCCATGGGAAGGTCTCAATCCTACTGCTGCACACAGAGTGAAATTAATTAATTAACGGGGGGGAAGGGGGCAGGAAAACCATTATTTCCGATTTATCAAAATGCTCAGCTAATTAATTGATCAGCCCCACAGCTTATGGGGCACGGAGCAACCTGTGTGTGCCCCCCAACCTTCTCCAAGGTGCAGCAAGAGCCACTGGTGTCTTCTCCCTGCTCCTACCTGGGGGCAAGACACAAGTGACACCTCCCCCCCAGGAGCCCTGGGGCAATTTATTGGCCCAAACCTGGGGTTGTGGCACAGCTCAGCACCACTGGGGCAACTGCCTGGGGGGAAGGGGGGTGCACAACCCTCATGAGATGTGGCTGTAATGTGGGAATTGGGGTGGGGAGGTTTCCAGGGGGGTTCCGCACTCCCCCCTCTCCCGGCTGCCCTGCCCTCGCCAGCCTGGGAACAGCTTGAGTGTCCAGGCAGGGAATTCATTTAAATAAATTTCCATAGGGATTAATTTCTCCCCTTCCCCAGCAGCGCGGCAGAGGCAGGAGAAAAGCTGAGCCTGTTCTGGGGGGAGGAGGAGGAGGATGGGGGCACCTTCCTCTCCCTGCAGCCCCATCCACCCTCCTTGCCCTTCATCCCTTCAGCTCCAGCCTCGGGAAGGCTCCCAGCCCAGCTCAGTGGGTGCTCAGTGCCAGTGGGTGCTCAGTGCCTGGGGCTGGTCCCAAACCAAGGGGATCACCCGGTGCAAATCATCCAGTGCCCCCCCCAAGTTCCCAGACTTCCCAAACAGAGCTGCACGCGCCAAG